GATCTTATATACAGAAATATTTCAATCTTATTAATTATTAATAATTTTTAATTGTGAATGCAGCCGGATCAAAAGTGGTACCTACCACCCACCAATATATATTATATATATATAAAATGTTGTTTCTTTGGAATCAGTCAATTATTGAAAGATCCTTCCAACATTAAAAAAAATTAAAAGTTAAATATAAATAAATATTTTAATATATATATTTTTAATCTTTGGATGAAGTTTCAACTATTTCATTGGAATGAAATAGTATTGTTCATATATAAGATCTTAGTGATGCTAATTTACGGGTTTGCGGAGAGTGCATAGCCTATATCCTCTAGAAGTAAATTTTGGAGATCTCGTCTTATTCAAAGAAATCAGGTTTTAAATATAAGTATCGCTTATTTTAAGAAATGGTCTTTTTCGTGTATTTTATTTTTATAATTTATAAAAGGATCATGAAATAAAATAAATAAGATGGACAAAGGTGAGATAATTTATAAAAATTCTATTTTTTTCACTTAATAAAATATGAGATAATTTTTATCTTAAATACAAAAACATTTATTATTATTATTATTATTATTATTATTATTATTATTATATCAACATTATTTTAAATCATTGTTACCTATCATCACTACTCTCATTACTTATAACTATTATCACCTTTTATGATGTCTATTACAATTTATTATCACTTTACTTTTGTTATTATTATTATTGTCACCATCATCCAATAAAATTGAGACAAAAAAAAATTAGTTTGAGAGGAAAAAAATAATAATAATGAACAGTCATCATATATATAGACATATCAACACTAATAATTTTTTTTATCTATTCCCCTTTTATTATATTACGTATCAATGATACCTATATTTCTTTCCTTCTTTTTTCATAAGTGTCCACAAACATGATAATTTTCATCTACTAATATTTAATCCTTTTTTATTTTAAGGAGTGTCATGAAAATATTTTTGTAGTCATTTAAATACATTTTAAAAAAATAGTGAGGCCATGCCCTTTCATGTCTCCTATATCCCTTTTCTCCTAATTAAAATAATAATAATTTATTATGGTAACTAATGTTAAAAAAAATAATATAAAAAATTTAACATTATTTCACTTGTATTGTCCATTATTTACTAAATAATAATATACGGAATTAAAATTTGTTTAATAAATTACTTAATGAATAAAATTTGTAATAATGACAATAAAATTTTAACATAAAATTGTGTGTATCCTACTTCATTTGTCCAATAACTTAATTAAGTTATCCTTCTCCTTGTCCAATAACTTAAGTTATCCTTCTCCTTTAACTTAGTATTGAAGTTATTATATGCCTAATTCATGGTTTGAGATATGGTCACATAGTTAATCTTTCTTAGTTGTTTTTAAAGTTGTCTCCTTGCAAAAATTGAATCCATTTTTTTTCAAGTTCAGCGTACGTTTGTTGTGAATTGATTCATATTCGTTGTCACAAGAAAAATCAGTAAAGCAACTAAAGTGATTTTTTTTTTCATGAAACATATTCCTAATATATTCTATTATAATTTTCTTTTACACATTTTCAATATTATTTATAATAAAATTAATTTTATTAAATTCTTAAGCAATATTTTTAGAATGAAAAGGAAAATCCAAATGTGTTGTAGTATTTGGAGTTGTCAATTTCCAAAATAGAGTAAATGCATATCATTCGTATGCATTATTATAGCTGGCAGGGGTTTTAAATTGGCTCAGTGATTCAGGTCCACAAACAGCTACGACAAATAAAATTGATGATTGTTAGTAATAAAATTCTGAACTCCAACTCTGTCTCATCACTCCTAGGATACTGTGTAATAAATGATAGTAAAAGTGTTGCAGAATGCAGATAACTAACCATATTGTTGATAAATGATTGTCAAAAAGTGTTGCAGATAACTGACCACAGTTGATAAATGATTGTTAAAAAGTGTTGCAGATAACTAACCAAAGTAGGAGTTGAATGCAATGCTATTACACGGCTTTTTAATTATCACGTGTGATTGCGTTTCTGCTGCAACATATGATTCAATAATGCAAGGACTTTGAAGATATCTAGATAGCACAGATGTTGAAATTCCTTGTTTGTTATTACTACTATTTATTTTCTGTCACCAATTACCTCATACGAGACCAAGCTCTTCCCATCTTTGCTTAGCTTGAGAAATGAGAAATGAGAAATGAGAAATGAGAATGAGAAGTCTTTGGGTGAAACAAGAAGTCATATCATATTTACTCAATTAGGGTGATTTATGAGGATGACACTTTGCATGCATGTGATGTATGTTTTTTTAATTATATTATTAGTACAAAATATTTACGCATTCCGTTGATAACTAATATTCATCGAGAAATATAATTGATCATTTTTAGTGAAAAAGTTTCTTATTTAACTTCATTTTTTCCATACACAAATCTCAAGTCTGAAATCTTGTTTAAGAGATAAAGTCATTCAACAAGTTGGTTGCATGTGATGTGTTGAGATAGCAGAAGCTGTCCACAAATATGAATAAGTAGTAATATTTACAAACGTTATGATGGGAACAAGAAAATTATTGCATGTCTCTGGAATTTAACTCCTGTACCAACACTGCCATGAATTTGCACAGCGCTCGTATTTATTCCAGAATTATGACATGAGTGTTAGGCATTTAGGCTATATATGTCTGTTATGAGCGGAGGATAGTCCATGAAAATGAATTAATGTAGTGACAAGAAAAAAAATGATAATTTTTTAAAATTATTTGGTAGGAGAAAATAATAAAATGGAAAATTAAAACAATTTTAGCTTCTTTTCTTTTACTATGTTATAAGTTGAAATAAATATGAGTTTTGTGTATTTTTATTATTTTTTATTTTGGCTGATTATTTTTAACAAGGTCTTTTTCTTTAATCACATTTTTAACTATAAGACTTAATGAGACTTTATTAAAAAGTTAAATTCAATTTCATTTAGATTGATGTAATTTTTAATTTTCTTTGATTGTATATAAAGTGAAAGAAAATAATATATATAGATCAGAAATAAAATTTATAATTAATCTTTTGGTAAAAAATATATTCAGAAGATTTTTTTATATATATATATATTTTCTTGCAGCACAAAATAAAGATATAAAGTAATTTAATTATTTTTTAAATCGCTATATATTACCTATACATATCTCTTGAACCATAAAATAATTTACTAAACATGCCTAAAAACCGATAGTATTTATAAAATAAATAAATAAGAGAATATTTTGTTTTAAATTTTAATGGATTAAAATTACAAACGTTGTACACTCATTTATTTTAAAATAAATTCATTTTCGAGGAGCTTCATTCATCAAATATGTACCAAATTAAATCACAACTTATACACAATATTTAGAAATGAATTTTAACGCATAAAGTTAAGACTTAAGAGTTCACTTTAAAGGAAAAAATGCGTTATAATTTTATTAAAGTTTAAATATATTTTTAGTCTTTCAAATTTAAAGTAAATTTACTTTTAGCTTCTCAAATTAAAAAACTATTGTTTTTAATTCTAATTTTTTTTAAAAAAAACTTGTTTTAATTATTATACTACAAGATCTGTTGAGAGATTTATTAAATATTATCGTATAAAATTTACTTATTAGTATTCTTATTAATAAAAATATTACATTAAACTCAATTAATACTATATAATTATCTCAATTTGTCACTTTCAAATATGTTATTGATAATTTAATAATCTAAAATAAGGTTTTTTTTTTTAATTATAAGAACTAAAAACAACAGTTTTAAATTTAAATGACTAAAAATATATTTAAACATTTTATTAAAAAAGTAATAACTAAAATTATACTAAAACATATAAAGATGTAATCATATTACATTTATAACTACTTTTTTGGTTTCTAAATTGCACTATTTACTTTATATGGAACAAATCGTGAAAATTGATAGTTAGTTTGAAATCAGACAAAACAAGCTTATTCAGAACCATGTTTAATGGTGAGAAATTAAAGTAGTATACACATGATTTTAGATTCAAACTATATTGTCATTTTTGTAATTCAAATTGATTAAAAAAAATAAAAAATAAAAAACAAGAAAAAAATGCAAGCTTATCCAATAAATTTGAATCTTATTCCTTGATTGTCTTCCGTACCAGTAGTCTGAGAGTGCTCGTTAGACTGATTAAAGTTAGAGCGACACTATTGTCTAGACGTTATGTACAATTTGAACTGGTTTCCACAATATGATATCCGTGATTCTTGCATGTCTATAAATGAGATTCAATGTGACTCAATGATGATAAACAATATTCATAAAAAAAATCAGATAGCCATCGTTATCATATTACATATAACATTCAAGGCAAATCAGGAACCTTAATTTTTGTAGTCAATAAACTAGTGTTAGAACTCTGATTCTGAAATTGGATTCAACACCCTTGGTGATCTATATATGCAGTAAGTTTGGAGTGAAATAGCTAGTGCTATCTTCTTAATATCAGCAACAACTACTTGTGGATGCAGACTGTGATGGCTTGTCCTTAAAAATGTTCTTTTTACCCCCCTTAGAGCCCTCGGCTAAGAGGCTAGGTGTATCCAGAATCTGGGAGTGCAATAAAAAAAAAAATTATAGTCATTTTCTATGATTTTAACATATTGATTATCACGATTCATAGAATATTAGAATGCAATCCGTTTCCATGTACCACTTTTTCTTTAAGCGTTAACTTGTGTTTCTTTAGAATCAGGAGAGATATGATTAGCTGTTTACTACTTTCAGCATAGATTTCTCAACTAAGCATTTCTGCCTTTTTCAATTGTATGTAGGAGGCATATCAAATGAAACAAGTGGCTTATATGAAAGGTAACGGAGTAAATCATGATCATTGAATCTTGCTTGAATAGCTGGGACTATTTAAAAAAGAAAGTAACATGACTTTATGTTTTAATATTGATCACTTTACACTTATGCATATACAATAATCATGATTTGCTCCCTTTGCCAATGCTCTTGCTTGAGAGCAGTATGGTTACCGCATAAGGGGTGTATTATGCAGAATACCAATTATGGAACAAAGTTAAGAAATTGGCATATGTCAACTCAACATACCTTCAGAACAAGCTCTTCAAAGCATTGTTGTACGTTAACTCGAGTTTTAGCACTGCATTCAGTAAATAGGCAACCACATTCCCTGGCAAAGTCTATTCCCTCTTTCTTTGTTACAACTCTATCACTCTCCTGAAAAGCAAATATTATCCACCTGCATGTCATGTGCTCTTAAGGAAAGCGTGAAAACAATATAGTAATGGTGATAGGTTCTAATATAATACACAAATCATAAATCCAAGATTTGAAATATTCTTATAAAGAAGGACCAAATGAAAATTACATTTGCCAATGGTAGCATATAGCAGAGGATTCAATTTAATTGAAGATTTATATTTACCTAAATACAATTCAAAAATATACACAAGCCCTCCTCCTTATCTTTCTTTAAAACTAAATAAAAGTGATAAAACCATAAAGAATCCTCCGAGAGGAAAAAAATGGAAGAAGATAAGTAATCAAGGCTTGGTACCTAGAAGAGTCGAACGTCAAAACACATAACAAAATAGACCACAGACAAGTAGATTAGCTCAAAATAGCTCCCAATCCCTGTTTACAATTACATTTATCATTAAAACCAGAAACACGTGTATAAAGTTGAGTAAATATAAAAAATTATTTCCACCCTCTTCTTATTAACTGCTCGTTTTTATTTATTTTTTCTAAAAATACAAAGTGCCTTTAATATGCTAGTGCATATAATAACAACAACAAAAAAAGTTTTATCTTACCTAGGTGAGGTCAGCTACATGATCACAGAATGTCATTGCCTCATTGGGTTAATACTCTTTTTAAAATGAATAAAAAAAATAAGTCAAATTTCATGACATTCATAATTAACAATAAAAGATAGGTTTTAATCAAAACAAACAAGTATATAACAACAAAGTCAAGAAAACAAACAAAATACCAAGACACGATCATATTTCAAATTTTCAACTAGAAGACATCTTGAACATTCAATAAAAAGTGGGGGTGGGTGTTGCCTAGTGAAAATAACTGAGGAGGTTGAGGGTTCAAAGTTTGGAACAAAGGTGATCTAGAGTTCAAAGTAGAGAATGCATAATATTTCTGCCTATATAATATTTATTCATTTTTCTATTTTGGCCGCAATTTCAGCCATTGAGGCTGCTATAACACCACCATAATGCATTATTGATATATCAGCTATCATAATTTTAGGTATAAAATCACGTGTTTAGTCTCGTTAAAAAAATTAATTCTGAATAACTTGTTTTTAATATAAAAAATTTTAAACATAAATTAATTAATTTCAAAATTAATTTTATTCCAACTCAATTTTGCAAAGATTCACCCAAATACACACTATGTAAGTACAAACTTCGTAAAAGAAGATACCTTATCCACTTTGTTTCCAACGAGCATCTTGATGCATTCCGGATTTGTTGAATAAAGTTCTATTTCCTTAGACCATACTTCAGAGAGATCAGTAAACGTTTCCCTCCGAGTTACATCATAAACTGCAGTTTAAGAAACAAAATGCATTTAATCAAAAACCAAAATTTCAATAATACATCTCCCAAGGTGGGGACTCCATTACCCAATTTCCAAATCAAGGTATCATTTACCCCACTAATGTAATGCATCTGATGTAGAAATGACCACCATTTCCAAGTGAATTCGATCAACAACTCAGAACAAAAAATTCATATCGGTGATTGAATTGCCGCAGCTAAATTCATTTAATAAGCCAAACCATGATATATGTTCGCAACCACCCTTTTTTAACCTTACTTTTTCATATAGGCACTAAAATGAGTTTTACCTCTCTTAAAGTCTTTTCCATTTACATAGTTAAGAATTGAACTCCACCTAACAACATGATTAAAGGACTAGGTTATGTGCCAACTCTGCTGGACCTTATTGGTTAAGCAATTCATTTATTTTGTATTTTTATAAATCACTTTTGTGGAAAAATTGGAAAAAAAAAATCCAGAAGGAAAGGAAAACAGAGACTCCTTTCATGTTCTTTAGTTTCAACAATCATGTGATCATTGATTAGCATGTAAGGTAGCCAATTTTAGGCGAATTGCATATTTTCTATTCATTTCCTATCCCCTCGGGGTCAAAATTTCAATCCAGTTTTTGCTAAAATACACTAAATGGTCTGAAACAGTGAAACTATTGACAAAGGAGAACTTACTTCAAGCCAAGAAAATAAGCCAGACAAATTTAGTTCGGATAGTGAACGATGACTGGGTAGCAAGGCCCTAGCTGCCAGGGACTGCATAGGTCAACATCATTGAAGTTTTGACCCTTGAAAAGTTTATTCTGGATGTTTATTCACAAATTGGTTATTTTGCCACCCCACTCAAAAACCATAACTTTATGACTCAAAAATTGTTGAAGCCTGCAACAAATTAAGTCTTTTTAACTCTTTATACAAAGTGCTTCTAAGATGCTAAAACTTCTTCACAAAGTGTAGATTTACTTGTTTATTCTTGGTCTGATATGGTGCTATGAAGATAAACCTAAAACCAAAATTGATAACTGATATGGTTCTGTTAAGATGAACTTTAAAATGGACAAGCATTGACTATTGAACATGAGGTAAGTCCCTGATTTCCTTTCTTTTTTGATTTTTTTTTGCTCAAGTCAGAAATAATTCATTGGACAAACTGATTTATAAAAATGAAAAATAAACCAATGACCTAGATTCAATTTAAATAAACGGTTATGATTCATTTACTGTTATGTCTCAAAAATCTTAACCCAAGTTAGCAAAAGGGTTCAATACATAATACTTGGAGTTTGTGGATTGACCACAAGAAAAAGAAGTTGAAGGTGTCCATTATAAAAGGTTTGTATAGTTCAAGGTAGTCATATTTATCTACCGATATCTTTATCATTTATCAATCAATGCATAGTTAAGCTACCTCAAGCATCATGAATGGTTTTCAACTCCCACAATGATACTGAAGTGGTATTCCAAGACTCAGTATAGGTCAAGGAAAACTTAAAGGTGTACGAAGTGTATTAATCTGTAAGTAACCAAATGGTTGACATGCTTCATACATGCTTGAGAGCTTCAAGAAAATATTATTTCAATACTGCCTCTTTACTTATCCTCAACAGTTAGTCCATTACTGCCCCTCGTTTCAACAATGCTTGTTAATTGCTATATCCACCATTAGACCTATATGCTGATCATCATATTACTCTGAAAAAATTAGATTTATGGAATCCATTTGGTGTGATTATGTGAGGCAACAAATGGCCTTAACTAAGAATTAAAAGAAAGACATAACTTGGCACAGAAGAAAATTTTGGCTTTTAATCCTATCAGCAAATCACATTCTGCACCAGATTGCCTAACAGTATAAAGGCACAGGTTAACTTTTTCTGAAGAAAATAACAGCTTATCTGTGTCATCATAAAAAATATTATAATACATTCCTTTATAGATTCTCATTCAAATTAAAGCATTTCACCCAATTAATAAATATGACTGGAAGAGTGTTGAATGAGGAAACAAAGAATTGAAACTTACCCATAATGATCCCTTGTGCACCTCGGTAGTACGAACTCGTCAATGTTCTGAATCTCTCTTGACCAGCTGCACCATATCCATACTTAGCACTACTAATAAGCACAGATTTGATGCAACATGCATCCTACAAAGTTGAACATCAATAAATAAATAAACACATGTCAACACCTGTATCCCAAATGGCAAGCTTCAGCTTTTTACCATCCATCATCAAATACTTGACCTTAAAATCAACACCTACATTGGGACATCAAACATTACAGAAAAACACGAAACTCCAGAGCACCTTGTTTTCACAAATAACCAGAGAACATTATTCACAAACAAGAATAATGGTGACATTCCACACTGAATAGCAAACTTGAACACTAACAATGCTATGGCACGTGACAATGAGATGCATAAACCTTGATTCAAAAGCAAAGGCACGTGAGCTATGGAAATGTAAAGAGAAAAACGAACCAATTGTGGGAGAGAGATCTTCAAAGGAATCAGAGGTGAAACAGAGGAGGAGACTACTCTTGCCAACACCCGAGTCCCCAATCATCAACAACTTAAACAAATAATCGAATTCTTGCGTTGAACTCGAATCCATCGCAATAAACTGATGCAATGATAAAATAACAATTTAAAACAAATAACCAAACGTCATTGTCCGTTCTAAAATCCTATGACCAAGAATCGATTCTGAAAATGTGCATTGGGATCAAAATAGAGTGATTAAAAGAGGGGAATTTGCATACCTAAGAATTAAGAGAATCAAATCCTAGAGGAACTGGTAGCAGAGGAAATTCAGGATGAAATATTAACAAGGAAAATAAAACGGAACTGTGTCCGAATTACCTGGTCATCGTTCCAATTTTTATTTTTATTTTTCCCCATTAGGCTCTGAATTATTTCTATTCATTATTTTAAGAATAATTGTTAAATAAAAATTAAAAATTACTCGTACATCGAAGACCAAATTGCATTAACCCTGTGCACTTGAGCGGTTAGACTAATAAATTATTATCACATTATTATTTTATTTATTAAAATATAATAAAATTTGAATATAAAATTTTGTGTATATTATTTTAATTTTTTATCATTGGATTGATCATGATATTTACGTTTTGGCGAAGCTTGTGAAGTACTTAGATTATTAATTATGAGTATTTTGAAGGAAAAAAAATCTAGTTATCTATCATTTTTCAATTTATATATTCATTATATTGCTGGGGAGGAATTGTTATTGGAAAATTAGGGTAGTTTTACTATATAAAAAGAGAGTAAAGACTATTATTTTAAGAGAACAATTAAAAAAAATAGGCATATGTTTATTAGTAAATTATAAAAAAAATTTGGATAGGATAAAAGGAACTACTGTGTTCACGAAAAAGAAAAAAATCATTTAAATATAAAACCCAGGCAAAAATACAAATATTATACTGCTTTACCTAAATTCTACATTTTATTATTGCTTATTTCATTCTAGGGATGGCAACGGGGCGGGTCGGGTACGAGTTTCATGATACCCGTTTCAGTTCTCACAAGTCAAGTCCATCCCCGTCCCTGTCCCTGTACCCGTCGAGTATGTGATTTTCATCCCTATCCCCGTTCCAGTCAGGTATCGAGTATACCTGTACCCGTACTCCTACCCATCAATTTTTTATTTTTTATTTTTTTTGTAAAAAAAAGATTTTTAAATTATTTTTTTATTGTATTATAATTATAATTAAGTTATTTCTCTATCTTATATTATAATAAATAATCACACATAAAAAAATATTAAATTTTTTGTTAAATACCTCTTTTGGTCCCTTACAATATTTTTTTGTTTCAATTTAGTCCCACTTTAATTTTTTATTTCAATTTAGTTCCCAATAATTAAAATCATTGCAATTTGGGACTTCCGTCCAAATGATTTAAACAAGGTTACTGTTGGCCACGTGGATGCCACGTAGATGCGTACGTGGATACCAAATTGCATGAATACACCTGGAACCAGAACGGCCCGTTCTGAAACCAGAACGGCCCGTTCCAGATGCACTCTTGGTATGTTAATTTTTGCAACCGGAACGAGCCGTTCCAAATGCAAATTTCACACACCATCATTGCATCAGAACGGGCCGTTTTGGTTTTAGAACGGGACGTTCTGGATTCAAAACGGCCCATTCTAGAAAGCCAACTCCATGCATCCGTTGACCAAAATGACGCAACGTGATTCGAAAATTGAAAATAAAAAATTCATAACATATCATAAATTCAAAGACAGAAACATGGTTCAAAAACTGAAAACAAAAATTCAGTACATAATATATATACTAAAAAAGTTCAAAAAAATTACTGAGAAAAAAAGGAAATTATCTGGGTAACGATGAAGGGAAACATAAACCACAAAAATTCAGGTTGTACCTCCTCAAGAACATGTTATTATTGTTGAGGTACATCGTTAATGACTTTAAGGGAAAACACCGTTTTGTTTCATCCTTGACTGTATAGTGTCAATTTGGTAGTAAGTAGTTTATTCTAATTTGACTAACAATGAAATAAAATCTGCTACCATTGTCTTTAGTGATATACTGCATTGTTCTTAATGATACACTGTATAACCCAAATGTTTAGCAATTGAAGTTATTAATCCCCATTAACAATATTACCAAATCTAGTATTCGAAATGTTTTGTATTTTGTTTTTTTTTCATGAAATTCTGGACCAGAAAGGCCCGTTCTGAAACCAGAACGGCCCATTCTGGTTACACTGTTGGTGTGTTAATTTGGCATTTGGAACGGCCCATTCCAGGTACAAATTTTACACACCAATAGTGTAACCAGAACGGGTCGTTCCAGTTTCAGAACAGGCCGTTCTGGTTCCAGGTGTATTCAAGTATTTTGGGCTCCACCTACGTGGCATCCACCTGTCATCCACGTGACCACCAGTTAACTCCGTTTAAATCATTTAGACGGAAGTCCCAAATTGCAATGATTTAAATTATTAGAGACCAAATTGAGACCTAAAATTAAAGTGAGACTAAATTGAAACAAAAAACATTATAAGGGACCAAAAGAGGTATTTAACCTAATTTTTTTTAATATAATTAAATTGAAAGTGGATATTAAATTAAAAATGAAAACGGAGACGGGTACGGATACGAGTACGGGATGGGTAAGTACATACTCGTACCCGTACCCGATTTAATATATCGGGTTTTATCCGTACCTGTACTCGTACCCAGTCAAACCGGGTATTCCCCGTCAAAGTCGGGACGGGTTCGAATATTACCCGCGAGTACGGATATATTTGTCATCCCTGATCCAATCTTCATTTTTCAATTATTTTATGACTAAAAAGTATACACCGTCGACTTATTTTAGAGATAAAATGTTATTTTTAGAATTTTAGTTATGACTTAATATTCAAAGCTTAAGATTGAATCCAATTTTTAATTAAAGAATGAAAGTATCAAATTAACTAGTTAATATTAATTTCATTCCTCAATCTTATATTTATAAATTGTGTAAAGATTCTAATGATAAAACTATCATTTAATATATGAATAGTAAATAATTTTTACTTTATAAATTAATTTTATAAAATTAAATTAAGATACTTTTTATTATAAAAAATTTTTGAATTAGGGTAAGACTCAATCTCATTCAAGATCATAACTAATCACTAATTACTTTGAAAATTTTATCGTTAACCCCATATTTAATATAAATCTAGATGGAAAGATATAAAATATAAAAGAAGTTAAATTCAATCCTAGATCCTAATTAGTAAAAACAAAGAGAATTAATTTAGTCACTCTCATATATAAGGGATTAAAACTATATAAAAGGAACAAAATTATCAACTTTATATAAGGATTAACAACTTAAACTTTGAGATTCATCGACAAATAATTTTTTTTCTAACACTATTTTTCGTATGTTTTTTTTTTCCTCTTTTGTATTTATTATTCTCATCATTATTCTTAACGTCGTAAGATATTCCTAACTTTAAGCGCATGAATATATATACATTATTGTATATATTTAAAGAAAATAAACTAAATATTATTAATTTTATTCTTTTATAATAATTGTTTAAAATTGTATTAAACAAATCAATAATCATATTAAAATTTTCTATTTTTCATAGAATGATTTAATGTTTTTTATTAGATTTTTTTATTTTTATTTCATAATAAATGCATATTAGTTGTCACGTATAAATTAATTAAAAATTGAATGAGATAAATTGATAACATAATAATTAATATTATTTTAAAATTTTAAAATAAAAATTAAATAAAAACAAAATTTTACTAAGTGGATCAACAACTTTCTTTTTCTCTTACTTTTCAAACATTGGATTGATTATTAGTTAGTATCGTTGTAAAAGATAAATCAGTGTGTAATGTAATTTATTTTGGTGTAATTTTTTTTAAACATAATTCATAAGATTTTTTTGTTAACAATTATTATTAATGCATATATCTATTTTATATTAAATTCATGAAATTTATTAGTGACATGTGAAACTAACTATTAACGTTTATAAAAATTTTTTTGTCATGGATTAGATTGATTATATTTAATTTCTTTACATGATTTGGATCAATTGTAATATTAAATAATATTGAAAAATGCTAATTATAATTTGGAAGAAAAAAAAACAAGAAGAAGAAAGGTCTCTAATTTTAAATGGGGTATGAGAAACTTAGGTGTCACATGAACATGATCCCGTGTGGGTTGTGCCAGCTTTTCAGATCAAGTCCACGGGACGGTGGCCTGGTGGACCCAATATCTTTTAAAAAACAAACAATTCAATGTGTCTACTAATTATGCATTATGATACTTAAAATACTTAAAATTATTAAACACATTTTCATTAAATACTTTTAATTATTTACTAATATTAATATGTTGCTATTTACAAGACCCAATTTTTTTTTGGTGTAACTCATCCATAAATAACGAATATTTAATACAAATTGAATAACTTTTTTCTCAATTCTTATTGAATGAAACTTAACTAGCTTCCAAACATAGCCTGAATTTTCTCGTTTTGTATTTATGTAAATAAATAAAAAGAAATGAAATACATAAATATGTTCCCATAACCATAACGATTGACCAAAAAGAGAAAAAGAAGAGAAAGGAAGGGCATTGAAGAGCGAGTAGGAGGCAACAATTAAGAAAAGCGTGGACATGATTTGGATGAGTGGGAGTTTGACACAGCGGACAAAACAAATTGTCAGAAAGAGTATCCTATTTTTCTCTGAACTGGGTCCCACTCCACCACCCTTTTCATTTTCTTCAATTTTCCAATTAATTAGTAATAACAAAACACCACCATCGCCACCTTTGACAAAATCCCCTTAGTCTGTTCTGTTCCATTCGCCACCTTAACATGGAATCGGACAAGACACTCCTGGGGGCCTGCACCAGGCCCTCCTGGGCCCTCGCATTCATCCTCTTCACTCTCCTCATCTTTCTCTCCTTCCACCTTCCCGCCAGGCCCGTTTGGCTCCTCGCCGGCCCGCTTCCCGGCCCCGGCCCCGATCCACCCTCCTGCTCCGACTTCTTCCGCGCCGTTCCGCCGCGGAAGGTCGTCATGTCCATCGAGGACTTCGGCGGCGTCGGCGACGGCATCACCTCCAACACCGAATCCTTTCGACGGGCCATTCGCTACATGCACCGCTTCCGGAACCTTGGTGGGGCCCAGCTCAATGTCCCCAATGGAACGTGGCTCACCGGAAGTTTTAACCTCACCAGTAATTTCACGCTTTTTCTTCACCGCGGTGCCGTTATTCTCGCCTCTCAGGTACTAACTTTTCTCACTTTTTACACCTTCAAAAATCCCCTTTTTTTTGTGTAAATTTAATTCAATTATATTTCATTTCAATAATCAATCAAATTCGTAGTAATCGGCTCGGTTTACGGAGGTGAATGCGGGTGCAGCCAGCTTGGGTTTCACTTTCTCATGTGATTTCGATTTCGATTTCTGTCTTTTTATTTATGAGAAAAAAAAAATCATTTTTTTTAGATAAGACGGTTGTTTTTATTTTTCGGACTTTCTTCAGAATAGAGGTGAGGAATTGCTTTTTGACTTGTGTCACGACAAATGGTACCATTACCAGCCACATGGTACCGACCAAATCATGCCTGTTTAATAATTTTTGTTTATTATGTAAACGTAATGAATTTGATGTTAATTATGCTTTTGACAATTTGATGAAGGAATTGTTTTGTACTTTTGTTTATTAATTCAAATCGTGATTTTGCAGGACCCGAAAGAGTGGCCAATAATTGAGCCATTGCCATCTTATGGAAGAGGGAGAGAGAGGTTTGGAGGAAGGCATATTAGTCTTATACATGGAAATGGCATCAGCAATGTTGTCATCACTGGTATAACATGAAACTTTTTTTTTTTTTTTTTTTTCTTCAATTCATTTGGTGAAACTACAAATTAATCCAAGAAAGAGGAAGAGAACAAAGAAAGTTCCCTCGTGGTATGAACAATTTTGGCAAAGTAGTTTATGAGGGTGAAATGTCAATTGGGATTAATTATATCAAGTTTGTTGGACTCCACAGACTATTCCGGACAAAAAGTTAGGTTACATACTTAACTGCTATTTTATAATTTTCAACGTAGTTAGTGATTCCATTAGAAAGGAAAAAGCCAAGGGATAATTTAGTTGAAGTTTGTAATACTAGTACACCCCCATTAAATAATTGAGTATGCAGTTAAGATTTTGTTGGCAACCGCAAGCATTTTATTAGCTATCTGGTTTTGTAGGAGAAAATGGGACAGTTGATGGTCAAGGAAAGATGTGGTGGGAACTGTGGTGGAACAGAACATTGGAGCACACAAGAGGGCACCTCCTTGAAATAATGAACTCGGATAATGTTCTCATATCAAACCTCACCTTTCAAAATTCCCCTTTTTGGACCATCCATCCTGTTTATTGCAGGTTTGACCATTTTTGTTATTTTCACTTCTAGTAGTATGTTTGTTTCACTGTTTAAAAAATCATTCCCTTGAATGGGAATTTGTGAATGTAATATTTCTATGTTTGTAATAACCATTGAAAAATTGTTCCTAGATATTGTTCATGCTTAGGAAAGTAGTAGTATTATGTTTTATTTCTTTTTTATTCTCATGATGATGGGTGGAAAAGTTGTATTTTCATGGGAATGTGAGAAGTTATTTTCAGGCCTACTTACAAATTTCATTTCTATACTTTTTATTCCAATCATTTTGAATTTTAAAAATATTCCTAACAATATTAATATAACAAAATACATTTTTGAATTCACTCAAAAATAACATTTCTTGTTATAATATTCCAGGGAATGTCATTCCTGTTGATGCAATTTTACAACTTGAAATAAATGACACATTCTGTCAGGATTTGTACTATTTTCAGTATTTTGGAACCCCTTTCAATTGCAACAAGATAACTGTCTTGAGGCTTAGTTGAATTACTTGCTCAAACTATTTAACCAAACACATCCTTCGTGATTTTTGGAAGGCTGTTAACTAACAATCAAGTTCAATTTATTGGGGGCTTTTTATATTGTACACAATTATATCCTATCTAATTACAGTTGTCAGATACATGTAAGAAACTCGGTTCAGTTAGCACTTGTATGTTTTTAGCTTCTGTTACCACAAACACTTGATGAGATTGAATAAACTCCCATGTTTTGTTTCAGAAATGTTGTGGTCAAAGGGATGACAATCTTGGCTCCTCTTAATGCCCCAAATACTGATGGCATAGACCCTGGTTTGTTTTACTCCTTTGTTACTATTTATCCTCTTTTCTTCCATTCTGTTATCCTTCCAAATCCCCTTATAGTCTCTTACAAGTGAACTTCCCTTCTGATGACACAGACTCAAGTAGCAACGTATGTATTGAAGATAACTACATAGAAAGTGGGGATGATCTTGTAGCCATCAAGAGTGGTTGGGATCAATATGGAATCACTGTGGCCCATCCTAGCACAAATATCATAGTGAGGAGAATATCCGGCACCACCCCAACTTGTTCTGGAGTAGGCATAGGTAGTGAAATGTCTGGCGGAATTTCAAACATCACAATTGAGAATTTGCATGTGTGGGATTCTGCAGCTGGTGTTCGCATAAAATCTGACAAAGGCAGAGGAGGCTACATAGCCAATGTAAGCATAAGTGACATAAGAATGGAGAGAGTGAAGATACCCATTAGGTTCAGTAGAGGCTCAAATGATCACCCTGATGATGGGTGGGATCCAAAAGCTGTTCCTAGATTCAAAAATATTATAATCAGCAATGTGGTCAGTGTAAATTCAACAAAAGCCCCGGTTTTGGAAGGTGTAGAGGGTTCATCCTTTGAAGGCTTGTGCTTCAAAAATATTACCCTTCATGGTGTAGCCTTATCTGCAAAATGGCGTTGTGAATTTGTCTCTGGTTTTGCCACAAGGGTTTTCCCTGTTCCATGTCTTGAGTTGCGGAACAATAGCTATTCATCATGGTGTTCACCTTCTTGAATGGTTCCAAGTTCCAACAATGGAAAAACCAGGCTTTTAAGTTGTTCATATTAAGCAGTTTAAGTCTTGCTTAAAGGCACAAACAGAAGAGATGGACTGAATTAAGGTGACAATTTTCCTTCTTTGGGTGGCAGTAGCACTGACATATAATCTGATGAGTAAGGTTTGTGATTGGAACGTGCAAGAGTATTATTTGATTGATATCGTGCCCCCTCTCACGCCATGTTTGGTTGGTGGGTATAGAACGTGGAATTGCACCTTTTTTGCTTAGAGGGGGGTAACAAGTGATTCTTGTGGTTTACGTTTTACTTAACGAGATGGCGTCGTTTTTAAAATTGTTTGTTATTGTTGTATAGGTACTTTAGTCTTTGTAGAGAGGCAAAGTTGACTTGCATACATAGGGAACCCAATATACTGTATAAAACAATTTTGAAACAGATTACTTTTTTTTTCTTCATAGTAATACGGGAATATTCCTGCAAAATTCATTAATTTATTATATCCTAGATTGTATGATTGTGATTGGCATCGGTACTACCACACTGGACCAGCGCTATTGACGGGCAAGATTAAGGCCTGGAAATTATTTATGGTGCCAGGATATATTAAAGTGTTTTAACTTGTATAGGATAAGGTAGCACAAGGTGTTAACATCAAAATTAGGAAATTATTGTGTTAAGTGTGTACAAATATTTAATTCTATAGATAAATATTTACTTGGACATAGTGATGACGGTAGCAATCATATATTGAGTCTTGTTATTGCTGCCAGTGGGGTCTCGCTCGCGGTTAGATGACGCCGCGGGTGTACTATCTTAAGTGGCTAATCTCCTCGTTGGAGAGACACTTAAAAAATAGAATAACTCAGTTCAAGATTTAACGTAACTGTATATACAAGGCATAATTCAAATTCCTATTTTTAGATTAATTCCTACCGCTGAACTACGCGCTTGGAGTTATATTTATTCTTTAGTTTTAACATACATTCTTATATTGCATGATTAGTTCTTTTTTTTAAATGTAAAAAAAAAAAAAAATTGTTGCTCAATCATGAGAGAAAAGAGTATTATATTATATCTTACATTGAATTATATAATTTAACTAATTTAGTTTAACATTATTAAAGTAAATTATATTGTCTCTTATATTGTCTCTTGTATACTCTTAATTATAAGAATATGTATTAAATTATTTTCATTTTATATATGTTAAAATATAGAATAAATCATATTTTTACTTATTAGTGATATGAATATTCTATCATCACTCTCTTATTATGTTAAAATATATAATTTATAGTATTTAATTACATCTTAAAAAATTCATTATAAGATTTTAAAATATAATTTTGATTAAAATATATGGTAAAATGTTTTAAATTCGTCACTTATTCACTTGATAAAAAAATTACAAAATATATACTTAAATATAAAATAGTTTGTTAAAATAATAAATAAAATAAAATTATAAAACATAAATTATATTGTTAATTTTTTTTTTATGGTTTAATACAATAAAATAAATTAATTATAGTTTTCCGCTATGCTTATTTTATTTTCAATGGCGTAGGAAGCGTGTTACCGCTGGTTTGCTCTCCTCCAAACATCACAACATTATCTGGTACAAGACAACAACCGCTGTAAATAGAAACAAATCCTAAAAATTGACAGGTTAATTTATTTGAATTCTTCCATTTTAAACTGAAAAACTAATGGGTAATCTATGTCTTTCAATCTTCTAAGATTCTCTAAATTCGATTTTAATTCTTCAAGAATTTTTCATCTGATGGTCTTTCAATACGCGTAAGTTTTTCTTCTTATTTTTTTGAAGTGTCTAAAACCTTTAACACAGTGCTAATTAATGTGATTAACACAGTTTCATGTGAATACTATATAGTATATACATAAACTTTTTGGAAGACATAACATCTAAAATTGGATGAGAAATTTTTTGAGAGATTAAAAGCATTATATTTTGTATTTTGAAGTGATCAAAACAGGATAATAATTTTTTTTAAGTCTAAAATCAAATTTAGAAAAACGTAAGTGTTTTTTCAACTATGATTAGTAATTGACAAAACTATCAGATACTTAGTGCATCAGAGTAAAAAAACACAATTAACACTGAATTAGTTCATGATCAAAAGCCATCACATTCTTCTGCTGTCATACCAGTGGTCATACAACTTGTTCTAGTCGACCCATTAAATCGGATAATGTTTCTTTCAAGCAATGCCATCACACTGGCTAATCCAGCAGTGAACTCCAAGAATGTCATGACTTGTGTTTCCTGCAACCCCCATCAAACATATTGCCAAAGATTGTTACATCACGACGTTACACGTGTTCACATATTATATAATGTTAAACCAAACCAAAATATTTTGAGCAACCAAAACCAATTCAAAATGAAGACAAAATCCCATTTTCCCTTCCTCCTCATGCTTCTCATACCCTTCACAATTCAACATATTTGTTCAGCAGAATGTGACAATCTGAAGGACTATTGCCCTACAACACCGCCCCAAAAGAATGCCATATTCATCAATGGCCTACCTTGTGATAACCCATCTAACACAAGTGCACATGATTTCAAGAGCATGGAACTAAGCAAGCCAGGTTCAAGGGACAATTTTGGTTCACTAGTTAAGATTGTTACTGCTTCAAAGTTCCCTGGCCTTAACACCCTTGGCCTCTCTATTGGTAGAAGTGACATAGAAGTTGATGGGCTTGTGAACCTCCACAATCACCCTAGAGCCACTGAGATGGTCTTTGTCAGTGAAGGTGTGTTGGTGGCTGCGTTTCTCAACACGCAAAACAAGCTCTTCCAAAAGACTCTTAAGGCTGGTGATGTGTTTGTGATCCCCAAGGGCTTGTTCCATTTCTTCCTCAACCGTGGTGCACAAGTTGCAACTGTGTTTTCTGTGTTCAATAGCCAAAATCCTGGGTTGGGGTCCCTCTCTTCAATTCCTTCTGACACGTTGGAATCGGTTGAGAAGATCAAGAGGAAGATTGTCTCACTTTCTGACTCACAACTTCGTGGTGTTGATGATTTGACTGAGGCAGTGTTGGATATCATTTATAGTTAACCATTTAATTCAGTGTATTGTGTCATGATTCATGACTTTCTGTTTGTTGCACAGTACTGTGTTTATATTATGAGATTGTGGTGTTGTGGTTAATGTAATGTAATATCACAATTGCATTTCACTTTATAGTACCTAGCTGTTTGATAGTTTCATGACAAATTAACAATGTAAGGTTGCTGCATCAATCGCAACATGAGGATTTATATACCATCTTGAATTGGAGGGCCAAAACTTGTGACTATATGTGCCACCTAGCTTCTGAATGCTCTTTCCACCATAACATATACATGATAAATAAAATAAAATTTTAGAGATGGGACATCAAGTCGTTGTAGTATAGTGGTAAGTATTTCCGCCTGTCACGCGGACGACCCGGGTTCGATCCCCGGCAACGGCGATTTTGTTTATTTTGTTATTATCATATATGTAACGACAAAATAAAATTAAAAAAAAAAAAATCCACTAGAATTATTAATGTATTATCATAAGATGTTAGACTTCTATACTTCATTTTTTTTGAAATTTTAACTTTCTGAATATAGACCCTATAATAATAAGTATGTTGGAATTTTCACCATAAATAAGTACTAAGAATATGTTTAAATACAAATTTAAAAGAGTTTTTGAAAAATTTTCTACTAAAACTCTTCTACACTCAAAAATAGTTATATGTTAAAGCGTATCATATCATCATGGTCCACGAATACTGTCATCACTGATAGAAATTCCCACTCCAAGAAAGTCTATGAAGGAAACACCCTTTTGCTTGAGATCATCAAGAGGTTCTTGTTCATTGGTACTCAACTTGCACAGTGTCATGGATCTATCACGTGCATGTTTACCTCTTTTGCAACTTTTGATGGTGTCCTTAGTTTTGTGGTCACAACCATAGTTTGAAATTTTTTGTGGAAGGGGAACAACCTTGCCTACACTGGGAAGTCCTGGTGCTGTGAAACTATGGTAACTGTCAAGAATAGAAGAACCAACAGATGAAGGAGAACTATAAGAAGAAAAATGGTCCAATTCCAAATAATTATCAAACAATGGTACTTTCTCTCTAGCACTTGATGTGATGGTTGAAGATCCACTGAATGAAGTCCAAGGAGTTGGTAGTTTATCAAACAAGGCCTTGTTTTTAATAAAGTTGAAACTGATTTGAGAATTATGATCAAATGAATCACCAAACAGTGCCAAACGCTCCCTTTCTCTTCTGGCCATTAGTACATGGAAGTGATTCTTGACAGAATTGTCAGTTTTTCCAGGGAAGAATCTGGCTATTGCAGTCCATTTGTTTCCCTTGAGATTGTGAAGTGCCAGGAGCATTTCCTCATCTTCTTCAGTGAATGGCTTTTTTATGATGTTTGGGTCTAGTTGATTGTACCACCTCAGTCTACAACTTTTTCCTAAGCATAAAAAAGTAATGAAACGAACAATACAATCTTATAAAAGATATTTGATGTTATGCAGATAGAGAAAAAATAAATAAAAAAAGGCATGAATAAAAATATTGTCATGAAAATTAAAAAAGACCTGATCTTCCTTCAAGATGTTCTGCAATAAAGTTCCAGTTCTGGGGACCATATTGTTTCACAAGTTTTTTGAGTCTATCATCCTCAGAGGGTCTCCAGTGTCCTCTACTGCAACTTTTTCTACTCTCACCGTTGTTGCTGCTACTAGCTTTTTCCATCTTCTAAAATATATGGTCACACTACAAAGTATAACAAAAATAGATTATTTCTTAGTTGGTTATAAGTGTGTTTATTTTTTACAATTGAAATGCTTAAATCTTTGACTAAAAGCAACAGGACACGAGCCTCTCTCTGTTGAAGTCTCTTTAAAGTGGTGACAATTATAGACTAAAATTACTATATGTATGTTTGATTTATCGTTTAAAATCTACAAATTTATGTTAAATGAAAAGGACAAATTAAAAATTTCACTTCATAGTTTAGTACATCAAAATGTGTGAAATTCTGTTTGTATCAATGTAAAGAGGTCTCAAACACACGTATATGGTTAGATGAAAAGTCCTTTTAGCTGGGTTATTGATACAAGATTTGATAAAAGCCAATACTCATTGGAGTATTAATGTATCTACCTGTACATATAATTTAACTTACTGAAAAATAGTCAATTTAATTCTGTTAACAACAAATGAATAAATAAACATGAGATCAAACAAAACTAATTATTATTTTGCAAGGATACATGGACTTTAGGAATTTAATTTCTCACCTAAATTTATGTTTATAACGACAAAGATATAAAAAGAAGATAAAAAAGAAATTGATCAATACTACTTTCTTTTATTACAGGATGATTAATACTATTTTTACTCTCATGCATAAGATAAATCATGAGGACTAAATCTTTTTCATCACACTGCAAAATCGATTAGATTGAACATTATTTACGAATAATTAATTTTGGACATATGAACGTGAAGAAAGCAAAAAAGAAAAAAAAAATTCAGGTCCAGCATCTAAATGGTAAACAAGAAAAGAATAAAAACTTAGTTTTAAGACTATAATGTAATCATATCTCATTACTAAAGAGTCTAAAATTAAATTTGAAAAAACATGCTAAAGAACTACATCGTAACCAAGTAGAAATTGCAATAGACAAAGAAGATAAATACCAGCTATATATTGTTCCTTGTTGATTGATTCCAAATGCTCTCTTCCTCCTCTTGTTATCTTTCATGGTTTCTTCCTTCTCCAAATTAATACTTCATTTATTTATAGACAGAATGCATTGTTGATTCAATGCTTTAACGTACGTTTGGATGGATTCATTGATTTCTTGCCAAGTGAGTTAAACTAACTGCTGAAGCTAACTTGGATAATTTAGCATGTTCTTAACTGATTGAGATTATTATATGTCCCACAGAATTAAAGTCTTGCTCTTCCAATTATAAACTAAATGGTAGAGTACCTAGCCCCTCATTTTTCTAATTTTCCACTAATAACATGCATGATCTTCATCAAGAGTTTTTTTTTTTTTTTTTAAATTTATTTATATAACGCATGCATTTTCTCAATGAAGACAAGATAAGGTATTTATAATTACAATAGATGACAAAGTTCTCTATTTCAATATCTCACACAACTATATAATTAAGACTCAAATTCAAAAATCATGGTTTTGTTTCAATTATTAATTTACATGTAAGTTAGCCATCAGCGAAAGTTTAATAATTATTAGTGCGACTATTTTCATGCATACATGAAAATATCCTAGGCTTCTTGCAGTGCTTTGTTATTTGTGGTGATTCGTGATGCTACGTACGAAATCAGATTTGTTCATTATATATGAAACCCTAATTAACTTATTTTGCATGTGGAAAATTGGCTGTCCTTGTCATGACTTGATTTTGAATAAAACAAAGCTTAATTCGGTTTTAAATAAAACAAATGAGATTAATGTTTTGAGAACGAACCGACTTGTTTCTGAGAATGAGATTTTTTTTTGTCTGATTAATGTTTTCAACTTGATCAGCATTTGAATATGTAAAATCACTATATTCGATGGAAGTAGTTAAAACTTCGTGTTACAGTACTGACATGAGTTAATTTGGCGTATCAAATAACTGCATCTTGTAAGTTGTAAATAATTTTATAAGTAACATTGAATAATGACAAATTGTAGATCAGGAAAGAAATAATTTTAAATGTTAGGTTTAACCTACTTGGGGAATTTTCATTTGACCAAAGAATTCTTCAGGTCCTTTTCAAATTCTTTAAGTAGCCTCACATTTTCCTCACAAGATTATTATTATAAGAAAACACTCTAAGTGCCAATAGTATATCAAAGGATTGTCAATTTGATTTATGTAACGACTCGGCTGACCATTCCACTCATCAATAAAACACATCGGAAACACTAGATAGAATAGAACAAGTATATAAATATAGAGTCTAGAATATAAGTATATACATATGTCCCAAATCCGACTAGAGTTAGGGTATGTAAAACAAGAATTACATCAAAAGTCACTATGCCTAGTGATCAACACAAACAAAACATCCTTAGAAGCCAGCTCCATCTATCCGCTGCCAACTCATCACTATCCACCACCTATCCCTGCTCTGCTCCCGTACATAGTACGATCATAGCAGTCCAACCACATGGAAACACAAGGGTAAGCTAGTATAGAAAAACAAATACAACATATGGAAATTTTAATCAGTGACAACAATTTCAACCATCAACAACTCATCAGTAAACATCCTGCCAATTATCTCCACATAGATTTCCAATACACACAAAATGCGTCGTCACGCATATCACCTCGGAGATCTCCTACAACACCTCAGCCTTTCGGCCTACAACAACCAATAGCAACACACAGTACAACACAACTATACCCACAACACATCAGATTCACAGTTCAACATATCATCTATAATATAAAACTACTTTTTAACCCATTCACCAGAAACAATTTAATATCAACTTTAACGTTATCTACTAGACATCATGTCATAACTTTCCATTTCAATTCAACTCAACATAGGCATCATATTCAATAATCTCATCTCCGCGCCCGGCGCACACGTGGTTGCGCCTAGCACGGCGCAATCCAGAGAGCACCAGGGGGCCCGCGCGCCCAGCGAAGGTGTACCCGCGCATGGCGGGACTCAACCAGAGAACCCAAGGCCCTCTCGCACTTGGCGCAATTTCCATTGCGCCCAGCGCTGGCCAGGCAGAGACTCAAGGAGTCCTATGCGCCCGGCGCATCAAAATCCGCGCCCAGCGCGGGGAAGGCAGAGACCTCCCTTGGTCTCGCGCCCAGCGCAATTCAAATTGCGCTCAGCGCCCACAAGGCAAAGACTCCTAAGGAGTCTCACGCCCAGCGCGACAAGGGGCGCGCTCAGCGCCCAAAAGAAGAACCAAAACCTGCCACACTGGTATCGCGCCCAACGCGGTCCAAGTCACGCCCAGCGCGGACCAGCCAGAGACCCACATTCTCAAGCGCGCTCAGCGCACTCATCATTGCGCTCAGCGAGCTTAGCCAAATGGGGTCTCCTGGTGGCCGCGCGCCCAGGCGCGAAGAACCCCGCTCAGCGCGAAGCTCAGCAGCAGCCAACCATTTTTGAAAGACTTTTCAAAATCTGCAGAAAAAAAATCAGAAAACCCCACATGCAATCGGTTCAATCTACTACATTATCATCCCAGAATTCAAAAACACCACCTTTTTCAACATGCAACAACAAATTCATCAAAAAGCCCAAGATTTGTCCAAAACCATCAAAGAACCAAAAAATTTCTAATTTTCAGCCTTTCTCACGAGATCAGCAACCATCAACCCTCTTAAACAACTGAAAAATAATGCAACAACTGATTCTCATTCCAAAATCACCACAGAACTAGCTTCCCTTACCTCAAATCAAGGAATCGAGCTTCGGGAAGAATAACGAGAGGTAAGCGAAGAACGGCTTGAACGACGAAGGAGAAGAAGAAGGGAAACTCCTACTCAGCTAGCAAAATCCCGATTCTGCTCCACACCACCACCTTGAGACAGAAATTTGGGGGAGAAGAACAAAAGGAAAAAGAGAGAGTGAGATAATGTAAGGTGAGAGTTTAGAGAGGAAGGAGTTAAGGAAAGAAAGATCCGTATGGGGGTATCACATTGGACTTGTGACATTTTGACCCTATTTTGAGACCTTAAGAGTGGCTGGACCGAATCACTTAAAAGACTTAAGCAAGTGGACTAAACACTAATCCATTCTAGTGCCATTCTAGGATTACTCTTTTGTGTGCTTCCTTTTTTTTTATTGAGTCTTAATTTTAGTTTGTCTTTTCTTTGGCCTCTTTTGTTTTGTCTCCATTAATTCTCTCTGAGTTTAGCCTTCCCCTAATTGTGCATTTTTAGTTTTTATTTTCTTGGACTCTTGCTCTTGGGTTGGTTTCATTTTGTTTGTAGGTGAAGAACCTATCTAGCAAACTAGCACACCTTTGGTGGATTTGAGTGGAGGAGTGAACCGAATCCAAACCTAGCCTTTGGAGGGATTTCCACCATACAAAAGGAGTGTTTAAACACTTGGAGA